CATGACTGGCAATATTATCCTTGTGCTTATATTAGCTTGAAAGAATATCCCACGCAAAATAATGCTTGTCCGTGAAATGCCCTGGACTGCTATTTGGCCGATTATCAGGCTAATTTACGGATGTTTCATGCCCACCTTTCTTTTTTTTTTAATGCCGAAAAATTTTAAGTTTTGGACTACCGGTATCTTGGATTATAATGTAGGCACACATTTTTTTCCATTGTCATTATTTATAATCCAAGATGGCGGCTCGCATGTTTTGCCTCTTTTCATAGACTCTGTAACATCGATAAAGGTTGGTGGAAAAACTGCATAATTTTGTATGAAATGTTACTCATCATAGTCCTTCTATTGTACTTAATACCCTCTAACATGCAAAAAATCCTAAAAATTCTCAAACCGCAAAGATATTTATGATTTTCTTTGAAGGCGTCACTGTGCAACACCTTCTAACAATAAATTCTCCAAACCATTTTTGAATTTTCCCAACCGTTTTTCCATGAAAATAAGACATAAGACAGGCTCAACACTTAAAGGGATCCGGTAACTTTGTCTCAGATTCTGAAACAAAATCCGGGATTTAGCTCATGCTGCTATGATAATTATAAATCTTTATGTCAGTCAGGAACTCCACGACTTTTACAAGCCGATCGCCTGTCTGATTATCAAGATATTTATGATTGAAATTACAAATTTTGAAAACCGTTCACGGGACGGTTTTCATAACACTACAGTCTATTGGGGACAACGAGTATGGTAAAACCGGTCATTTTTACTTTTTTGAGGCACTTGTTGATCATTTTGAAGCGCGATTTTTTTTACGGCTTCAATATTACACCATATCACAGCAACCAAAAAATTACTTTTTTTTTTACGAGGGCTCTTTTCAGATTTTCCCTTAAAAAAATAGCCCCCCTTAATTATTTTGCGGTGGCTATTTTGGAGCTCAGGGGGGCTTTTTTTTTTAAAGGTTGTATTTTTTTAAAACGCGGTTTTACCTAATTAAATTCCAAGCAAAGGCAAATATAGATACAATTGTAGCGTACATATGTCATGTAGAGTATTGCAGACATTCAGATACCCACGATTTATTCACTTTGTGTTAAACGTGTGGCTTTATGATTTACATATACATGTAACTAAAACTTGTCAAAAGGAGCGTTTTGTTTAACTGTTCGTTTTTCATATCCTAAGAAAATATTATCACTGACACGCGGGCTAGGAATTAATTTTTTTATGGGGGCTACTTTTCCCCATTGCCTAAAAAAAACCAAGGGCTACTTCCTTAAAGCCATATTGTAAGCTGTAACAATAAGTTGTGTTTTTCCTTAGCCATCATACTACTAGCAGCCAAATTGGTAGGTAATATGTTATTTAGTCTTTTTTTCTGTCCCAAATTTAATTATCATGGACAATGCAATCCCATTAAAAAAAAATGTAGACCAACTCCCTTTAAAATTGTGTTATTTAGACCATTTATAACCATTAAATGTGAGTAAATATTTTTACTGTTGTCCCGCATACCGATGTAGGGTCTATTTGTTATGCCGAAACATGCAAAATCATGGCCTTATTTTTTTTTTTTATAGACTCTAATTCTAAAGGCCAAGCCAAAGCTAGTTTCATTTGATAGACAGAAATTGATGTCATCAATCATCACTCATGACAATTGGCCTGGCATCGATCGTATATAAATAATTTAATTCAATTAAACAGTTGTAAGAAAGATTCTGAGGAGTAGGAACATCCTTTATATATTTATTTACGGTTTTTTTATAACAAAATTCAATTTCTGTGTACGAAACTTGCTTTATACCGATTTTACAGGAAAAAATCCGGCATTGATTTTGCACGTTTCGTTATTACAAATATATCGGTATGTGGGACAACAGTAAAAATATACTCGCATTTAATGGTTTTAACTTATAAATAACACAATTTTAGACGGAATAACATTTTTATTAATGGGATTGCATTGTCCATGATAAAAATTAGGGCCAGAAAAAAGACTAAATAAACAAATTACGTACCAATTTCGTCGCTAGCAGTTAAGCTCTCGTCACTCGCAAATACTCATTTGCTTCATACAAGGAGCGTGCGGGCGCGCGCTGGAGCTGAGCTAGTACGTTTCTGTGTATTGTGAACGTGTGCGAACTGCGTATGCATTCATGCTGTGCACGAAACTACATCGGGGCCAGTGGCCTGTCCGGCCGCCGGGAGCTTTGGCGCAGGCAGGCGGATACCGCTGTAGATCTAGCTACAGTAGGTACGACCGCCGATCCGCTGCAACTCACAAAACTTTTAAAATGTTGATGGAAGTTTCTAGTTTTGGAGTTGGTAGTTGGAACGGAGATTTCACTCAGACACATCAATAAATTGGTTTATAAATTCATAGGGAATATCAATTTATGGCGGGGGCGATTTTTCAAGTTATATTGATTTTTTTTCGCCCTCGTCTTGATTTTTACCGTGGCGATTTCAGAGGTTTAGGGGGCGAATCGCCCGTCGCCACCGTGTATTTTTTTCGTTGTATCACAGACCAGTAACACGTAGGGCCGTGTATCTCAGATTTAACATTGTTAAACGATCCCTTAAATGTCTGGAATGGTATAAAGAGCCAATTCATTGCTTCGTGACGATTAACATTCACCTCAATTGCAATGAAATTATAATACCGTAATTGCCGGCGTAAAGGCCGCAGTATTTTTGGAAAAGAATCAAAAAGTCTGGGTACGGTCTACATGTATGCGCAACAACAGTCAAAATCCGCCGTCAAATCAGCACGTATTCGTACATATGGGACCACAACAATGACTATACCAGTTTAAATAATGTACAATTATACAGGAGCAGTGGAGCACAACATTTCTAGAATAACTCCACACATCTTACCGACAACTTTGTGTTGCTTGTTGACATGAAGACAAAATTAAACTTCATAACTTATTTTTGAAATAAAATCTACTGGTAGATCTAGATACAAGTTCATGCCATTGCATCGCTAAAAGCAGGGACTGTTACAGAGCTACTGCGCATCCGGACGAAGTCTGCACTAAGTCTATTTTTTCCGTATCCATATTAGGCAATTTCGCATTTCATTGTGGTAGAGGTACATGTATATGCAGTACATGTATATAGGATACCAAATCTGCCTGTGATACAGTACTAGCTTCAAAATCGTTAAAGATTTGCTAAGTTACGATCATTTTTAGGTACCAGTAAACTTACTGTAAATTTTATACGAATATTGATGAATTTGGTATCACTATCAGTTTATACAAAAAAAAATGTTCTACAAGAAAATTATGATTAGTCTAGACCTATTTTTTTTGGTCCGTGTTTTTTTCTTTTTCTTCGAGAAATCCATATTTTGCATCGCCAGCCCAAAACCCAAAACCCAAAACCCAAAACCTGCAGAGTCCCAACAGTCGGCTGGGGGCGCGCGCGTGTGTTAAGTTAGCAACTGTAATCTTAGTAGGGTGTCTGAACGATTTTTCAATTTTCAATTTGGGATCGTTTTTCACCATTTTTGTTTGATATTTGAATAAAAAATGTTATCAGAATAATACATTTCAAATTTCAAGTCTCACCGATGTTTCTATCAAAAGTTACAGCCCCTCCAAAACGCTGGTATATTCATATCATTTTGGTCAAAATCGACGAAAAAGACGTCCACGCAGAGTGATGTTGTTTTGCTAAATTTAGCCAAACAGCTGTATCGCGCGATATGCAAGCATATGCATATCGTACGCATGCTGCTAAGCCAATCCGCGACTTGCAGCTTGAGCTACGCTGTCTCCGCGACATGTGCCATTGACTAGTATGGTTGGCGTTCGTCGCACAATAAACCCGGAAGTGAATGCACGTTATAGTCGATGGCAATATCGCGGAGATGTCTCCGCGATATTGCCATTGACTATAACGTGTATTCACTTCCGGGTTTATCGAGGGAATTGCCAACCATAATTTCAGTCACTATAATGTGTAATTGAATTTGGGGTTTCGTTCGTGCGCGGAGATGTTACGCGATGTAACCATGGTTTGGACTGAGCGGAGCGCACGCCCCCTAATTAGCTGATCCACCAAATAGCGAGAAGGGTATTTTTAAACTGTTATCAGTTGTGATCCCTGGGGGCTAGCGAAAATATAATCACATAGAATTGTTCCTTAGGACTGGGACTACTTATCGATCGGGGCGTCATATCTCAAAAGTGGCAAACCTCAGAGTTAGCCAGGACACAATGTTTAAATTGCTGTTTTGACCAAGATATTTTTAAAATTTCGGGGGCTACGCCTCTTTGGAAATATTGGAATTCACCTGCTCTTTCATATGACACCTCATTCATTGATTATCACCTTCAGGATCACAACAGATAAAGGTTTGAATCTCGATTTGAAAAAAAAAAATTGACTTTTTTTGCATGGTCGCGCAATGCACGTAGGCTGCATAGGGATGCGTGTAATCTCTATGGGAAGAATTTTAGCACACAACATCGGGTGCGCGATCAGACACCCTAATCTTAGTTTACGGTCGCTGTCGCTAGTTAACTGAACACACGCGCTCGCGCACCCGCACCCCACCGTCGGTACGGTATGCAATTGTATAGTGTTGCAGTTTGCTGGGAATCCTGTGAGAAAGATCTAGATCTAAGTCTTTGATTTTATTTTTAGGGAAAAATAGATCTAGATAGACTCTACTCCGGAAAAGATAAGAAAATTACACGAAACAGGTAACAAACATATTGACTTTTAAAACATGACCTTTACTTGGACATTTAATCAATATTTACTTCATTTGGGGTATGTCTTAGTAGGGTACCTCCACGCCGGAGTTACGGGTCAAAGTTTGGATAGACTTCTGAACTAGCGCCCCTATCCTTGACAATAAAATGGGATCACACTCGCTCAACGACTTTCATAACATCAAAATCAATATGTGGAACTACACTGACGATTCATTGGAAAAGAAAGCGAGTAATGGCGATATATTTCTCACTTACCTCTAGATAATTAATTGATACAGCTGCAAGATGATAAATGCTTGGTTTTCTCTGGTTATTTGTAAATATTTTGGTGAATCGCAGCGTTCTTTTAGCAGGATTTTGCTGGGATATAAGCTCAGTAACTCTCACTCTTGTCCGCCCATTCCCGATCTAGCTAATGGTCAGTATATGCACGCACGCTTTGTACGTGTGTTGTACATATATGCAGCTAGCTAGCTAGAGCTGTACCCGCGACTTTGGGGCAGCTCTCAGCTACGATAGCTAGGTCGTGCATGGGCTGCGCTTAGAATGAGAAAAATGGCCATCTACGTTCAAGCACTGAACAATCTTTCCCCTCTCTCTAGCTCTCCTCTTGAAAACATTAATTTTGAATTTTTGATAATTTATTATTATCACTGTTATTTGAAGTTTTAAAAAGACGTAATGGATCTATAACTATATATACTGTATAAGAAAGATGGATAGACAGGTAGATAGATAGATACAGGTGTAGGCAGATAGAGCACGAACAACAGTCACATAAAAGTTAAAGCGTTCAGAAAAAGAATACTATAAGATATTGTTTGTTACTGGTGGCTCTTGGGCTGCAAGCGTCGGGCTACCACGCCCCTTCATCAATTTTTGTCCGGATAGGGGTCATGCCTCAGATGCAGGGGCGTAGACAACGGGGGGGATGAGGGGGATGCATCCCCCCCCCACCTCACAAGGTGGGGGGGGGGGGGGTGGCATGTACAATCATCCCCCCCCCCCCCCAGGTTTTGGGGAATGATATTTGCTTACTTAATAAGTCATAATGATGATAATAATAGTAATAATAATAATGATAACAATTATAATATTAATAATAATAATAATTATGATGATGATAATAATAATCCTCATCATTATTGTAATTGTGTTTATTGTTATTAGCCGCATTCACACGGTGAAAGCCAATTCAGACGGGAAAAAAAGAAAATCTTACAAGTATTTTGTGGTTGTCTTGTGGTTTGGAAACCACAAGATAACCACAAGATTAAACAGGCGCGGATCTACGGGGGGGGGGGGGGGGGTTTAGGGGGTTTAAACTCCCCCTTGGGCGGCCCAAAAAACAAACAAACAAACAAAAAGGGGAAGAAAAAAAAGAAAAAAAAGAAAAAAGAAAGAAAAAAGAACGCACGCTGGAGAGAAACCCTTTCAAGTGCAAATATTGTGAGAAGATATTCAACTCATCTGGTAACTTAACCAAACACATGATAACTCTGGATATAACTGTGTATTTAACTGTTACTTGATTTAAAAAGACGTTATCATGCACTGCTTTTTATGGTCTGCATTGTGTTAATATAGATGCCAGGAAAACATCACTTACGGGGTTCAAATAAACACCCCAAAAAAAATCGGCTTGCCGCTTCGCGGCTCGTGGACGATGCTCCGCATCGTCATTATTTTGGTCAACCCCCCCCTTAGCAAAAAGCTAGATCCGCCCCTGAGTCATCCCCCCAGGTGTACGACCCTGTCTACGCCACTGCTCAGATGCTTGTTTGTTTTTTTCAAATGAAAGAAAAGCAATATATTTGATGACTTATGGATGTAAATGTAAAGTTGTCATCCAAATCTAAGCTACTCCCGGGGGCTACTCACTCCGTCGCCTTCATACAATCGTATAACATTTTCGTAATGTCATCAAACTTAATGCACAAAGCTTTGTTCAGTGCCTTATTACAAATTATTTTCATTCGCTTGTTACAAATAAGTGTATTTTAAAAGTCGGAATGCGAATAGCATACTTTCGGTGTTGTACAACCCATATATAAGTTTGTCTTACCTATATAGTGTGAGTAAAAAAAAAGTTTACACCTAGAAAGTTGCTAATTGTTTTTTAAATCATCTATGAACAGTCAATTGTTATACATCTTATGAAAGAGTGTTTTATCCCAAATCATTTGGAATCATTTTCGTGTGGTATATGTTCACGCTTGGATGAACAGGAGGCATCGTTTGCGAGAGTGCAAAAATCGACTTCAGCTATTGCAAGAAATTAAATGTGGAGCGAGTATTAATTTTGTTGCAGGAGCATGTGTCTACTGTCATGATCCATGCAGATTAGTATGTTATTAGGAGGGGTGTCGGTACCCCGCTCGGTACAGGCAGGGAATGGATGAGGCAGATTTAAGAGTGGGCATGGTACTTTTGGTTCACCAACAATTATTATTACCCAGGCATAAAATATCAGTCTTATTATTCGTCTGGCCCCATCATGACTCTCCCACAAGTAAGAGGGACAAGGGTCGCAGAACCAGAGGCCGGATTTTTTTTTTTTTTTTTTTTTTTAGAGGGGGGGGGGGGGTGAGCACCCCCCTAAAAAACAACAACAACAACAACAACAACAACAACAACAACACATAAACAAACCACTCTTAAAGCAACTGGATTACTTCTCAATTGACTGGCATATGTACCTTGAGGGGGTGATTTAAAAAGTTCACTAGTTGTAGAAACCGTTGTACTTGCTCTGTACACTCTGCACTTGACAAGCAATGCGCCAACGGCGGTGTATAGCTGTACTATACCAGAATAAAGAAAAGAAGACCGTGAAGAAAAAGAAAATAGGGACCCAACAAGTTGGTTCGGCACAATATCAAGAGTGTCGATTTGTACCCGTGGTTGTGGGGGATGATAGGCGCCAAAATATTTTCGGCAATGGATCAAAGCAACCAAGAGATAGGAGCGTGTGGCAGTTTGCACCCCCTCCCCAAGCGCGTAGCCAGGATTTCATTTTAGGGGGGGGGGGGGGGGGGTAGTGAGCACGTGAAGCGAGCTCCCTAGGGGGTTGGGTGCAGGGAGGGGGAGTTTCCCCCCTCCCCCGCGAAGCGCGGAAGTTTGACGTTACATTAAATTATTAGAGAAAGAAGACGATTCGTTGGACCGTTCTCGACTCCGTAATCCTTAATGTTTGAATCAAGTTCCCCTTCTTCGCGCGTAGCGCGGAAGCTCTGACGTTTCATTAGATTATTAAAGAAAGAAGACGATTCGACTTACCATTCTCGACTCTTAATCCTTAATGATGGAATCAAGTTCCCCTTCTTCGCGCGTAGCGCGGAAGCTCTGACTTTTCATTAGATTATTAAAGAGAGTTGACGCTTCGTTGTACCGTTCTCGACTCTAAATTCTTGTCTGAATTCAGTTTCCCCGATCCCGCGCGAATCACGGAAGCTCTGACGTTTTATTAGATTATTAAAGAAAGAAGACGATTCGATGTACCATTCTCGACTGTAAATCCTTGTCTGAATTCAGTTCCCCCCTCCCCCCCCCCCTCCCGCGCGGAAGTTTTGACGTTTCATTAAATTATAGGAGAAAGTAGACGATTTGTTAAACCGTGCTCGACTCTTAATCTTTGTCTGAATTCGGTTTACCCCTCCCGCGTAAAGCGCGGAAGTTTTGACGTTTCATTAAATTATAAGAGAAAGAAGACGATTCGTTGTACCATTCTCGACTCTAAATTCTTGTCTGAATTCAGTTCCCCCTTGTCCGCGCGTAGCGCGGAAGCTCTGACGTTTTATTAGATTATTAAAGAAAGAAGACGATTCGATGTACCATTCTCGACTGTAAATCCTTGTCTGAATTCAGTTCCCCCCTCCCGCGCGGAAGTTTTGGCGTTTCATTAAATTATAGGAGAAAGTAGACGATTTGTTAAACCGTGCTCGACTCTTAATCTTTGTCTGAATTCGGTTTACCCCTCCCGCGTAAAGCGCGGAAGTTTTGACGTTTCATTAAATTATTAGAGAAAGCAGACGATTCGTTGTACCTTTTTCGACTCTTAATAAGCCCTATTTATCTGAATTCAGTTTCCCCCTCTCGCGCGAAGCCTTGACGTTTCCTTAAATTATAAGAGCAAGCAGATGATTGGGTGTACTGTTCTTGACTCTTAATTCCCGTCTGAATTATGTTTTCCTTTCCCGCGCGAAGCGAGAAAAGCTTAGACGTTTGATTTAATTATTATAGGAAGAAGACGATTCGTTGCACCGTTTTCGACTCTTAATAAGCCTTATTTATCTGAATTCAGTTTCCCCCTCTCGCGCGAAGCGCGGAAGCCTTGACGTTTCCTTAAACTATTAGAGAAAGCAGACGATTGAGTGTACTGTTTTCGACTGTAAATCCTTGTCTGAATTCAGTTCCCCCCTCCTGCCCCCCTCCCCTCCCGCGCGGAAGTTTTGGCGTTTCATTAAATTATAAGAGAAAGTAGACGATTTGTTAAACCGTGCTCGACTCTTGCCTTGTCTGAATTCGGTTTACCCCTCCCGCGCAAAGCGCGGAAGTTTTGACGTTTCATTAAATAATTAGAGAAAGCAGACGATTCGTTGTACCGTTTTCGACTCTTAATAAGCCCTATTATTCTGAATTCAGTTTCCCCCTCTCGCGCGAAGCGCGGAAGCCTTGGCGTTTCCTTAAATTATTAGAGAAAGCAGACGATTGGGTGTACTGTTCTCGACTCTTAATACTCGTCTGAATTCAGTTTCCCTTTCCCGCGCGAAGCGCGAAAAGCTTAAACGTTTGATTTAATTATTATAGGAAGAAGACGATTCTTTGCACCGTTTTCGACTCTTAATAAGCCCTATTTATCTGCATTCAGTTTCCCCCTCTCGCGCGAAGCGCGGAAGCCTTGACGTTTCCTTAAATTATTAGAGAAAGCAGACGATTGAGTGTACTGTTTTCGACTCTTAATTCTCGTCTGAATTCAGTTTCCCTTTCCCGCGCGAAGCGCGAAAAGCTTAGACGTTTGATTTAATTATTATAGAAAGAAGACGATTCGTTGCACCGTTTTCGACTCTTAATAAGCCATATTTATCTGAATTCAGTTTCCCCCTCTCGCGCGAAGCGCGGAAGCCTTGACGTTTCCTTATCGTGACATACTGTATACGTGTAGGCTATACATAAACAAAATAACTCATTTCTCATGCATTATGCTGCAATTGAAACATTTTTTCTTTTTTCTTCTTCTTCTTCTTCCTTTTTTTTCCTCTCTTTTTTTGGTAATATCAGGGGGGATGATTGTACAGGTCATCCCCCTAGTTCAAACCAGGGGGATGCAGCCCCCCCATCCCCCCGGGATTTACGCCCCTGGCTCCCTCTCAAGGTCAAGGTATTAATTAAGCTATAAAACAATGTTTATTG